AGATAGATAGATAGATAGATAGATAGATAGATAGATAGATAGATAGATAGATAGATAGATGGGGTGTGTGGGAATAGATAGATAGAGGGTATGTGTGGGGATAGGTAGATAGAGGGAGGGTGTGTGGGGATAGGTAAATAGAGGGTGTGTGGGGGATAGGTAGATAGAGGGAGGGTGTGTGGGATATGGGGTGTATGGGGATAGATAGATAGATAGAGGGGGTGTATGGGGATAGATAGATAGATAGAGGGGTATGTGGGGATAGAGGGAGGGAGGGTGTGGGGTTAGATAGATAGAGGGTGTGTGTGGGGATAGATAGATGGAGGAAGGGTGTGGGGATAGATAGATAGATGGGGTGGATGGGATAGATAGATAAAGGGTGTGTGTGGGGATAGATGGAGGGAGGGTGTGGGGATAGATAGAGTGGATGGGATAGATAGATATAGGGTGTGTGTGGGGATAGATAGATTGTGGAGGGTGTGGGGATGGAGGGAGGGTGTGGGGTTAGATAGATAGAGGGTGTGTGTGGGGATAGATAGGTGGAGGGAGGGTGTGGGGATCGATAGATAGATAGATAGATAGATAGATAGATAGATAGATAGATAGATAGATAGATAGATGGGGTGGATGGGATAGATAGATATAGGGTGTGTGTGGGGATAGATAGATTGTGGGAGGGTGTGGGGATAGATAGATAGATAGATGGGGTGGATGGGATAGATAGATATGGGGGTGTGTGGGGATAGATAGATAGATTAGAGGGTGTGGGGATAGATAGATAGATAGATGGGGTGGATGGGATAGATAGATATGGGGGTGTGTGGGGATAGATAGATGGAGGGAGGGTGTGGGGATAGATAGATAGATAGATAGATAGATAGATAGATAGATGGATGGGGTGGATGGGGTGGATGGGATGGATAGATATAGGGGGTGTAGACCAGGGGTGGGCAAAGGTTTTGGCCCAAGGGCCACATCTGGGTATGGAAATTGTATGGCAGGCCATGGATGCTCACAAAATTGGGGTTGGGATGCAGGAGAGGGTGAGGGCCCCGACTGGGGATGCGGGCTCTGGCTGCGGGGGGTGGGCTCTGGGGTGCAATGGGGGTGAGGGGTTGGGGGTAGAGGAGGGTGCTCCGGGCTGGGACTGAGGGGTTTGGAAGGCGGGAGGGGGATCAGGGCTGGGGCAGGGGGTTGGGGCGCAGGAGGGGGTCAGGGGTGCAGGTTCCGGGTGGCGCTTACCTCAAGCAGCTCCCAGGAACAGCAGCATGTCCCCCCTCCAGCTCCTACGTAGAGGCCCGGCCAGGTAGCTCTGTGCGCTGACCCGCCCCCAACTTGTGCTCATTTATTTGTCATTATTATTAGTAATAAACCGTCTGGGGGCAGAGGGGCTGGAACTGGAGGTGCTGGGGGGCTGTTGCACCCCCGTCTTATCATATCCAGGGTTTCCAGTTTGGTTTATTGGCTCTCAGCCCCCCACTGTATGAATTGTTCCAGCCCCCTGTCTGGGGGCAGCAAGGTGGGGAAAACCCCTGTTTGTTCGGCGTAGTTTATTGATTGTTGTAACAAGTCCCCCCCGCCGCTGCGCATAGCTCATCCCCCGCGTGGAGAGAGCCAGCGGAAAAGCCACTAGCAGGAGAGGTCTTGCCAGATGTTTCAGCACATCTGTTCAAGGGAAAAGGATTCCGCTCCCCTCGAATGCGTGCTAAGAAATGTACGAACCAGAGCCATGCTCTAGGACCCCAGGGCAAACTGACTCGTGTCCTGGATTATTAGCATTGCTTTTATCCTACATGGCGCAGCCCAGCTGGAAATCGCAACGGAGCTGGGAACACCAGCTATGTCCCCACCCCATTTCCTGTCCCCCCCTTGTCATCAGAACCATGGAGAGTGAAACAACAGGGAGCAGCGTGGCCTGCAACATGGCCCCGGCTGGGCAGGCCTACCTGGAGTCAGGGTGCGTGAGGTGTGCAAGGGGCCATCCGACAGCTCCGCTCCCTGGAGACACGAATTCCAAGCCCATCTGGAGCGACTCAGCCCCTGGCCCTGTGTCGGGCGAGGGCAGCAGCTCACCACTGGGGCCAGGGGCCAGCCCGCTACAGAGACCAGCTGAGCACCCTGCAGCTCGGTGCATGGAAGCCATTCAGAGGAGTCCACACAAACCAAGGCCCAGGCTGGGGCCGTTCCAGGTCAGAGCAGAGGCTGGGGGCTGCAGTCTAGTCTTAAGGCCAGAAGGGCCCATTCGTTCATCCAGCCTGATGTGCAACACGGACCCATTAACTCTGCCCCATTCCCCCACGCTGAGCCCAGGGGCCTGGGCTTGGCTACAAGGCCTCCAGTCTGGAGCTGAAGCCATCCAGACCTGGAGAATCTGCCACTTCCCTGGGAGTTTGTTTGAGTGGCTCCTTCCGGGCGTCTCTGGGTAAAAAAATTAAAAACGTATGGATTGGATGAATGGACGATAAGGTGGCTAGAAAGCTGACTAGATTGTCGGGCTCACCAGG